GAGGGGAGGAAGGATCTTACCTCCCTCTCCCTATCTTTCTTAATTCCTGGTCCAAACTCACAAATTCTCACTTCTGATGTATTTATAAGCTCTGAAAATCTTACTTTGAGTGTCTTCTTCTGTGATGTCACAATAATTAATATATATATATATATATATATATATGTCGTACCTAGTAGCCAGAACTCACTTTTTGGCCTACTATTCAAGGCCCGATTTGCCTAATAGGCCAAGTTTTCCTGAATTAATCTATTTTTTCTAATTTTTTTCTTATGAAATGATAAAGCTACCCATTTCATTATGTATGAGGTCAATTTTTTTTATTGGAGTTAAAATTAACGTAGATATATGACCGAACCTAACCAACCCTACCTAACCTAACCTAACCTATCTTTATAGGTTAGGTTTGGTTAGGTAGCCGAAAAAGTTAGGTTAGGTTAGGTTAGGTAGGTTAGGTAGTCGAAAAACAATTAATTCATGAAAACTTGACTTATTAGGCAAATCGGGCCTTGCATAGTAGGCTGAGAAGTGCGTTCTGGCTACTAGGTACGACATATATATATATATATATATATATATATATATATATATATATATATATATATATATATATATATATATATATATATATATATATATATATATATATATATATATATATATATATATATATATAATATGTATGTATGTATGTATGTATGTATATATATATATATACACATTATTATTATTATTACTAGAGATACTTGTTCATTTTTTTTAAACTGTGAGTTTAATATAATTTTTGTAAGTAGTGTTTTGGAGCTTAATTTTGATAGCTCCTCAGTAGTTCAGCTATTTATTGTGTAATATATGTGTGTGTGTGTGTATAGGATATGTGCACAAATAATTTGTTGAGCTAAATAAGAGTTCTTAGCTTAATGTATAACCGCCTGCTTCCTTCCTTACTGACTAGTGGTGTTATTTAAAAAAAATCCAAATAACATTAATTAGTTATTGTATTTACTTTTGAATTCTCTTTGTACCCATTTCATTTTCGAATGTAACATTTTTATAGTCAGGAATCGAGTGTCCATTTTTTCTTTTTATAATATTTAACTTTTAAAACTCTATCATGTATTATTATTATTATTAATATTATTATTATTGTTATTTTTATTAGTATTAATTTTAATTTTGAGGATTTTTAGTGATTTTTATTTTAGAAATAGTATGCATAATAAATGAGTTTTAATGGATTTGTTCGTGAGTTTCAATACTATATTTCAATAAGTTTTTGTGATCCATTACACACAGCTGTTGCAAGTTTTGTAAAGATAAAAGACTTTATATGTTGTGAAAGATAAGGTTTCTAAATGTATGAGAGAATGTATTTATTATTAGGCATCATTTTGTTATAGGTGTTATAGTTTCTTTTTATACACCAGGAATGGATTTGTATTTCTAAATCATACAATTCGATTTATTAAAAGGCAGACTTTAACATTTTGAATTTATTTTAAGGGCTAGATTACATGTCAATTAGGTTTTAAAAATGGTAGGCTGCAGTTTAAAAAAAAATAATAATAAAATGGATGAGGTTTGTTAAATTTGATTGTAGTGCTGAGCTGCTGCACATAATTACCTAAGTGCAATTACCTAAGTGTAGTTACAGGATGAGAGCTACGCTCGTGGTGTCCCGTCTTCCCAGCACTCTTTGTCATATAATGCTTTGAAACTACTAACGATCTTGGCCTCCACCACCTTCTCCCTAACTTGTTCCAACCATCTACCACTCTGTTTGCGAAAGTGAATTTTCTTATATTTCTTCGGCAACTGTGTTTAGCTAGTTTAAATCTATGGCATCTTGTTCTTAAAGTTCCAGGTCTCAGGAAATCTTCCCTATCAATTTTATCAATTCCTGTTACTCTTTTTCGTCTGTCTTCTAGTTTTGGCATATTTAATGCCTCAAACCTCTCCTCATAGCTCATGTCCTTCAGTTCTGGGAGCCACTTAGTGGCATGTCTTTGCACCTTTTCCAGTTTGTTGATGTGCTTCTTGAGATATGGGCACCATAGAACTGCTGCATATTCTAGCTTTGGCCTAACAAATGTTGTGAACAATTTCTTTAGTATTTCACCATCCATGTATTTAAAAGCAATTCTCAAGTTAGAAAGCGTGGCATAGGCTCCTCGCACAATGTTCTTTATGTGGTCCTCAGGTGATAGTTTTCTATCGAGAACCACCCCTAGATCTCTTTCTTTATCAGAAGTCTTTAAAGATTTTCCACATAATTTATAAATTTTGTGGGGTCTATGTTCTATTCCACATTCCATAACATGGCATTTATTTACATTAAATTCCATTTGCCAAGTGGGGCTCTATATACTTATTTTGTCCAGGTCTTCTTAAAGGGCATGCAACGTACTTTTAATGAATTTATAGAAAAGGCCTGGATCTGATTTACATTTGTCTGTTATACCGTTTTCAAAGTTTCTCTCTGCCTCTCTCCTTACTGACGTGTAGTTGTTTCTTGCGTGTTTGTATCGCTGGTATGTTTGGGGGTCCGGCCTCTTCTTATAATGATTCCATGCTTATGTCTTTTGATCTCTGGCCTTCTCGCAATTTCTGTTGAACCAACCCTGTTTCCTATGTCTGCATCTCTGTTTTGGTATGAATGTTTGTGTGCCTTCATCGTATATTTCCAAAAAATATGGAATACATCTCATTTACTTCCTTGCCTAGCAACAAGTCTGTCCAATTATGACCATGAAATAAAAAGTCTAAGTTCTTAATAGTGTCCTTTCTTGAAATCGAGTTTAACAACTGTTTCAATGTCCCATTCTCTACTAAATTATATTGCATAGCGTATTTAATGTCCAAGAGGACGTGATCACTCTTTCGCAAGGAAGGAAGATACTGGATGTCAAATACCTCTTCTTGCCTGGTGAATATTAGATCCAGTACTGATGCAACATCCCCTTCCCTCATTTTTGTGGCCTGCTTGACGTGTTGATAGATGAATTTCTCCAAGATGAGGTTTACAAATTTGCCTGTCCAAATCTCCTCTGCTCTTGCCTCGTAGGCCTTGTAGTCTATTGCTTTAAAGTTGAAGGCCCCAGTATCAGCAATAGGGATTTATCTTTGTCAGCTCTTACCATAATCTCTCATGACCATTATGAGACCCTCTCGTTTGTCATCCAGTTCTTCCTTTGTCCATATGTTTCTTGCTGGTGGGCTGTAAGCATTTAAAATGATCAGCTTATCATCTTGATTCTAGACCTGCAATGCCATTATGTCAATATCTCGAGGATTTTCAAATATTAACTCTCATACCTTCAGGTGTTCTTTCACCAGCACAGCCACTCCTCTCCCCTTCCAAGTTTTCCTGTCACATCTCCAAACTGAGTAGCCCCTTGGGAATACAACCATTTAAAATATTTTCTTCAAGTTTCGTCTCTATTAATGCGACAATATCTGGGACTTTGAGCTGAATTATATCCTTCAACTCCAATATTTTTTATCTCACACCATCTATGTTGGTATATACTATTTTCAGGAACATGTTCCCCTTCCCTTTGTTTTTTACACCCCCCTTCCTTTAATGATTTTGTTGCTTTGTCTCTATGTACCTTTTCACAAGCTTTCCAGTCCCTGACACTTTGTAGAAAAAAGAATTCCTTTCTTTTTCATTTCTATCCCCCATTTAGACTTTTCGCTTCAATGAGGTTCATTTTCAGCTTTTCTCTGTCCTCCTTTGAGAGGTCTTGTCGTATTGACCAAAGTTATCCATCCTTGTCACATTGCAATTTTCTGGTATTCCGAAGCACTTCTGCCATATACTTCACTCCATTAAATGTCGCCCTTAAGGGGCGGTTCTTGTCTTTCTCATATTTTCCTATCCTTCTAAAATCACTGACATGCTCCTATGAATTTAGGCCTTCTCCTAATCCTAATATTTTTTCTATGATTTTCATCTCTTCTGTTGCTCGGTCCACCCTAGATGAAATTTCCTTCTCTAAATATCCAAAAATTATTGTGGACTTGCTTCTATCTACAGTGTTTTGTACTAGTTTACTGTTGGTAACCAGTTCTTTCCTAATTGCTTGCCAAAGATCTGCTTTTTGTTTGTCATTTCTGGTTTTGACTTCCAAACACACTTCCTTAATCGTCTCTCTCTCTTTTACATCTTGGGCATACAAGATGTAAAAGAGAGATGTAAATGATCTTCTTTATACTTTCTAGTTCTTTATTGACCTCCTCTATGTGAGTTGTCAATGAAGTTTCCAGTTGCAGATCCTTACCTAACTCCATGTTAGCCCTCAGGGGCTCTTGGAGTTGTTTACTATATGAATCTATTTTCTTGCTTATTTCTTCAAAGTTACCACTCTTCACTTTCCATACCTCATTTTCTTTCACTAGTTCCTTGATTTGTTCCTCCTGATTTGTTACCTTGTCCATTAATGCAGTAATCTTACCTTGCTGAAGAATACTTCCTTTTAAAGTGCAAAGCTCACTCCTGAGAGCTCCGTTGCCCTCTTTCAATTTAAGCACTTTTTCTTCGTACTTCTTTTGCATATCCTCAATTATCTCTAACCTGCCAAGAACACCGCCTTTCCTTATATCTTGCGGTGAGAATCCTTTGAAACAATCATCTGTTGGTGTGTTTACATTTCCCGTGGTGGCGGCGGCAGCCATCTTTGTTATTGAAAATAGTTTGTTCTAGAAAACAAACTTTTCCAACTCGGCTATTTTCACTCACGTTCACTTGTTTATTGTATTTTATTTGCTTTTACACTTCCCTTAACCTTTATGAAACCTGGGACATCACTGTAGCCCTCAACCTGTTCTCAATACTTAGATAATTTGATATTCGATGTGTGTGTGTGTGTGTGTTTTAATAAACACAGAGCTGCATTTGTGTTTGCATTTCAGTGTGTTATGTGAAAATGCTTGTATCTGACCATTTAGTTAACATCTAAAGTTACTATGACTGTTTACTAACTAAATACTTCCTGTAGCTGGAGGAGTCCCGCTTGGAGATCCAAAAACGTGACCAAGAGATTCTGGCTCTTTCGGCCAAAATGAAGACATTGGAAGAGCAACATACAGACTACCAGCGACACATCACCGTGCTCAAAGAGTCCCTCTGTGCCAAGGAGGAGCACTATAACATGCTTCAGGCAGATGTAAGTATCACCATATCTCTGTGCACTGTCCTACATATATCTCTTCACTTATTCCACACGGACTACAATGTGATTAAGGAAGATGTTGCTCATTCTTTTACACACACACACACACACACACACACACACACACACTCACACTCACACTCACACTCACACACACACACACACACACACACACACACACACACACACACATTGAACCTCACTTCGTTGGAAGACAGAAGAGCTAGGGGGAATATGATCACCACATTCAAGATTCTCAAGGGAATCGACAGGGTTGATAAAGATAGGCTATTTAACACAAGGGGCACACACACTAGGGGACACAGGTGAAAACTGAGTGCCCAAATGAGCCACAGAGATATTAGAAAGAACTTTTTTAGTGTCAGAGTGGTTGACAAATGGAATGCATTAGGAAGTAATGTGGTGGAGGCTGACTCCATACACAGTTTCAAGTGTAGATATGATATAGCCCAATAGGCTCAGGAACCTGTACACCTGTTGATTGACGGTTGAGAGGCGGGACCAAAGAGCCAGAGCTCAACCCCCGCAAGCACAACTAGGTGAGTACACACACACATATTGGAGGGGTGACAGGTAAGCTTCCAACATGGATGAAAAATTTTCTGACATAGAAAAATGAGGGCAGTGATCAGAGGCAATGTATCGGACTGGAGAAATGTCTCAAGTGGAGTACCACAAGATTTAGTTCTTGCACCAGTGATGTTTATTGTCTACATAAATGATCTACCAGTTGGTATACAGAATTATATGAACATGTTTGCTGATGATGCTAAGATAATAGGAAGGATAAGAAACTTAGATGATTGTCATGCCCTTCAAGATGACCTGGACAAAATAAGTATATGGAGCACCACTTGGCAAATGGAATTTAATGTTAATAAATGCCATGTTATGGAATGTGGAATAGGAGAACATAGACCCCACACAACCTATATATTATGTGAGAAGTCTTTAAAGAATTCTGATAAAGAAAGAGATCTAGGGGTGGTTCTCGATAGAAAACTATCACCTGAGGACCACATAAAGAATATTGTGCGAGGAGCCTATGCCACACTTTCTAACTTTAGAATTGCTTTTAAATACATGGATGGCGATATACTAAAGAAATTGTTCACGACTTTTGTTAGGCCAAAGCTAGAATATGCAGCGATTGTGTGGTGCCCATATCTTAAGAAGCACATCAACAAACTGGAAAAGGTGCAAAGACATGCTACTAAGTGGCTCCCAGAACTGAAGGGCAAGAGCTACGAGGAGAGGTTTGAGGCATTAAATATGCCAAAACTAGAAGACAAGAAAAAGAGGTGATATGGTCACTACATACAAAATAGTACCAGGAATTGATAAAATCGATAGGGAAGATTTCCTGAGACCTGGAACTTTAAGAACAAGAGGCCATAGATTTAAACTAACAAAACAAAGCTGCCAGAGGAATATAAGAAAATTCAAAGTGGTAGATGGTTGGAACAAGTTAGGCGAGAAGGTGGTGGAGGCCAAGACCGTCAGTAGTTTCAAAGCGTTATATGACAAAGAGTCCTGGGAAGACGGGACACCACGAGCGTAGCTCTCATCCTGTAACTAAACTTAGGTAATTACAGATAGTAAATACACACACACACACACACCTGAATTCAAGGGAAAATGTCAGTGATTTTAGGAGGATGGGAAAATATGAGAAAGACAAGAACCGCCCCTTAAGATATGAAGAGTATTGGACATTTAATGGAATGAAACACACATGACTGAAGTGCTTAGAAATGCCAAGAAATTGCAGTGATGAGGATGGCAAACTTTGGTCAATAAGACAAGACCTCTCCAAGGAAGACAAAGAAAAGCTGAAAATGAACCTCGATGAAGCCAAATGTCTAAATGGGAATAGAAATGAAGAAGAAGAAAACAAAAAATTCTACAAAGTTAGGGACTGGAAAGCTAGTGAAATGGTACATAAAAAGTATTTTAAATGAGGTCGTATTTCCAAGGGGTTATTCAGTTTGGAGACGTGACAGGAAAACTAGGAAGGGGGGGAGGGGTGGAGTGGCTTTGCTGGTAAAAGAGCACATGAAGGCAAGAGTTAATAATCGAAAACCCTTGAGAAGTTGCATAATGGGATTGCAGGTCTGGAATCAGGATGATAAACTGATAATCATAAATGCCTTCAGCCCACCAGCAACACATGGACAAAGGAGGAACTAGATGACAAACAAGAGGGCCTCATAATGGTCATGAGAGATATTATAGTAAAAACAGATAAAGATGAATCACGATTGTTTTTACTGAGGGACTTCAACTTTAAAGCAATAGACTGGGAGGCCTATGAAGCAAGAACGGAGGACATTTGGACAGGCAGATTTGTAAACCTCATTCTGGAGACATTCATATATCAAGAAGTCAAGCAGGCCACAAGAATGAGGGAAGGGGATGTTCCATCAGTACTGGATCTAATACTCACCAGGAAAAAGAAGAGGTATTTGACATCAAGTACCTTCCTCCCTTAGGAAAGAATGATCATGTCCTGTTAGAAATTAAATATGCTTTGCAATATAATCTAAAAGAGAATGGGGACAATGAAACAGTTGATAAACTCGATTTCAAGATTTTTTCCACTATGGGGAACTTGGAAAATTCTTTAATGAATTTAATTGGACAGACTTCTTGCTTTGCAAGGAAGTAAATGTGATATATGCTTAAATTTTTAAAATATATGATGAAGGCACACAAACATTCATACCAAAACAGAGATGCAGGACCAGAAAACTGGATTGGTTCAACAGAAATTTTGAGAAGGCCAGAGAGGAAAAGACAAGAAAATGGGTTCAATATTGGAAGAGGCTTATCCCACAAACATACCAGCACTATAAGCAAGCAGGAAACAATTACACAGGAGTGAGGAGAGAGGCAGAAAGAAACTTTGAGAAAGGTATAGTGGACAAATGTAAAACACATCCAGGCCTTTTCTATAAATTCATTAAATGCAAGTTCAATGTAAAAGATAAAATTCAGAGATTCAGAATGGGAAACAGGTTTACTAAGAATGAAAAAGAAATGTGTGAAATGCTAAATGAATAGTTCCATACTGTGTTTGTACAAAATGAGGATTTCAGAGAGATGGACCAAATACCAATTCAGAGCACGCCATTGAATACATTGAGATACTGTATCTCAAGATGAAGTTGAAAAATTACTCAAGGGGCTAGGAAGAAATAAAGCAGTTGGACCTAATTGAGTTTCACCTTGGGTGCTGTGAGAATGTGCAACTGACATGAGCATTGCACTCCAATCAATATTCCAGACATCCTTGTGCACATAAATCTTAGCAGATATATGGAAAAAGGCAAACATAGTTCCAATCAATAAAAATTGTAGTCGAGAGGAACCTCTAAATTATAGCCCCCTATCATTAACAAGCGTGGTAGTCAAAACACTAGAAACAATAAACAAATCCAGAAGGGCTGTGATGAGGATTCTAGAAAGAATCTAGTAACACCTCGAGGACGAGATGTTACTAGAAACAATAGTTATAGCCAAATGGGTTGAACACCTAGAGAGTAATGATATAATAATAGACAGACAGTATATTTTTGAACAAGATGATCCTGTGTAACAAAGTTACTTAATTTTTGTGATAGAGCAACAGATATTCTACAGGAAAAAGATGGTTGGGTTGACTGTGTATATCTGAACCTACAAGAGGTTGTTTTGGAAACTGGAACATGCTGGAGAGGTAACAGGGAGACTGCCAACATGAATGAAAAATTTTCTAACTAACAGAAAGATGAGAGCAGTAATCAGAGACAATGTATCTGACTGGATGAGTGTTACCAGCAGAGTACCACAGAGTTCAGTTCTTACACCAATAATGTTCAAGGCGAGCTATAGTCTGTTTTGCTTCGCTGACTTTCTGTGTGCCTTTCTTTGGTGGTGGGAGACATGAATAACTTTACATAAAAGGTTCTCATAGTGCCACTGCTCCCCATGCCTCTCTGAGGGGGTCATATTCTGGCTCGTGGTCCCTGGTAGGTCAATAAGAACTTCACAACTGATGGCACCTAGTAGTATGGCACTGTATCAGTGTAGTAGCTTCAGAGAGCTACTGGGACTTGCCCAGAAATTGTCGTTTCATTACATGTAATGCTGGTTTTTTAGCACCACAGGAACCATTGGAATTTGGCTCCATTAACCTTCGTGCTGCGTGGCTTTTATTGTAATATCATGGCGGTGCGCAGGAAATAAAGTGTTTCCCCCACCAAAAAAAAAAAAAGTCTTTGTTAATTGTTAAAATCCCTTTCCTGAACATGTACACATAAAAAAAAATATATATAAAAAACAACTTACTTTGGCTGTGGCAACCTGGAGAAGATGCGATGTGACATCACGGATATGTGTTCGCCTGTGCAGGAAGCTCCCAGAGGCAGTCGTGCGGATGATTCAGGACTTGCAAGTTGCCACAAATATCTTTTCATTAATTTTTTCAATTCATTTTCAAGGCATTCTAATTACTTTTTTTATCGAATCTGATCCACATGTGTGTCTCTTACAATATGTACACAGTAGAACTTTCATAATGTTCCTAGGAACTGTGATATGTGTGTCACTGATGTGTCCATAAAAAATGTTTTGTTGCAATGTTACCTATTCAATAGTCAATATATTTATAATATATACACTTTCAAACACTATTTATACAGTCATACACTGTATTACACACTCAGTATTTTGGAAGTGAGTGATAATTTCCTGACCAACAGAACCCAATGTGTAATAGTCAACAAAATAAAATCCAGCCCATCAACTGTGAAGAGCTCAGTCCCCCAGGGTACTGTGCTTGCTCCAGTACTTTTTCTCATGCTCATATCGGACATAGACAAGAACACAACCTATAGCACTGTATCATCCTTTGCAGATGACACTAGGATCTTCATGAGAGTAGGCAACATAGAGGACACTGCGAACCTCCAGTCAGATGTAGATCAGGTCTT